TTATAGAGTTCACCAAATTGACATGTTGGCAAGACTGATCACACTGATTGGCAGAGAAAGTTTCCTAAGGAGGTGAGGCTAGAACTGGACCTTCTAGTATTGGGATTCAGTAGCTGTGATCATGAAGCAATGGGCTTATGCTGCTTATCCGGGTTCCTAAAGAGCAGATCCAAGGTGGAGGATTCCTGATGGTTAGTTGGCAGAGGGCCAGGGATGGTCAAGGCTGCAGCTGCTGTGCTGCGACCTCCTTCAGTTCATTCTGAGTGGCAAATAATGCAACAGGAGGCAAAGAATGCAACAGGAGGCATAGAACCACTAATGCGGTATCAGAATGGGATGTTGTTGCACTTTATGTCTGATGTAAATACCAAGGAGGGAAAGTTTCCATCCATGTACCCAGGTCTGAGACATTCAGTTCCTTTTAGTCATGGACACAGGTTATGAGGGCTGTTAGGCAAAGAGCACTAGGGACTCCTGGACTTCCTTGTATCACATCAGGTATGAGCTGAAAATTCCAAACCACCATGGCTGGCCTTGCTTATGTCTTTCAGGGCCAGTAGGGCTGCAGTAGGGGCTGAGGCATATATCTAGCCATAGTGATTAGAGACAGACACATGGCTTATGAGACCCAGCTAAAGGATAACTGCTCTGATCTTTGAGGGCTTCACTGGATTCCATGCTTTTCCTCTTCCTCAGGCCTCCTCTTGGGACACCACATGATCTTCTTGGCTTATGCCATTCATCTGTAGAAATTCACTTGTGTTTATGTACCTACAGGGGCTGCTAGGAAGGCATCATCCACACCCTTCTTCCTCACTGAGCAGGAGCAGCAGCTGAACCAGGTGGAAAAACTGAAACTTCAGCTACAGATGATGACCAATGACAGGAATGAACTGCATGAATTCCTGGCCCATTGCAACAATGAGTTGAACAACAGGTATTCATCATGCCCTGTTCTCTGGTGAATGTCTTGACCCTACTGTGTCAATTCCAGCAGTCCTTGGGTCTCTGGAAGCTGCACCTGCAGGGTGACCTGCACAAGCAAATTTTCCTGAATGCATCTGAGAGGCAGAACTGAAGCCTGTAGGAGTGAGATGGGACACAGGCTGTTCTGATTCCTCCTAATGAAAAGCAGAGCCTGTGGCCTGAATCACAATCCACAGAGAGGAGCAGTAGTAAGATCACAACATGTATTTCAAAAGGCCTTGAGAGGTATTGGCTTGTAGGAGATGCTGGGTGCTCTGAGTCTAACCTGAGTCTCTGTATTTGACAAGATATTTATTTTTCCTTGTTGCTCTGGGAGCAGATTGAAAGGCCTGGTGATCCTTCTTGCTCTATCTGTGTGTGAATGGAAGACCTGGAGTCCATCCCAGCTCCTCTCTGGTCTTGTTCCTTATACTGTGAGAAAATGCCACCCACCTGTATTTCTCTGACATCCTAATTGTGTATGGGTTTATTTGTGTGTGAATTGCACTATTAGGGGCCCAAACATCGCAAACATGGCAGTGGCAGGTTTTCCCTTTTCACTTCCCTCTCCCTTGATAAATCATTAGATTACATTCTTTAATTTAGTCCCCAAAGTTCATTCCCTTTTGTGGACACTGACTCATTCTTGAAACTAAACACCAAAGTCCA